CAAAAGGATAAATAGAATGAAAAAATTGTCTCTTGTTTTGGCCAGCTTCAATCCGAATGGGTACCTTTCCATAGTACAATATTATCTGAATGCCACACTAGGGCATGAATTGAACATGAAGAGAGAGAAGAGTGCATACATGTTATCAGGACCTGAAGTACTTGGACCTTAGATTTTCACTGGATGTAAAAAGGAGCCCTTTGAAGTACTGACTAAGGCTGATCTGGTTTAAATAATGAGAATGCACTAATGCACAGCCTTAGGTACTATGGCTGTAGTTGAAAAAAATATTTAATCTACTTTGTTTTTAATTTTTTCTTAAGCTGTTGCAAGTAAACAGGGAAATTATGAGTGATAGATACATGTCTGTTCACATTTGGAGCTCATATATTTTGCAGATGCTTGTGCTTTCCTAAGAAACAGCTTCTCAAAAGGAATAGCTCCTGTTATAGTCAGAAGAGAGGAAAACGTGACATCCTCTACACTCGCCCTGATTAAAAATGTGCCCCATTAGGCTTCATATCACAGCATTGGAGGATCCACCTGAAATACAGGGGGGAGAGGAAAACTTAAGAGAACCAAGAGACCCCAGGTCTTAAAGGACAGGCAAAATAATTTGAAAGCATCTTGGAGAATCAGTTTAGCCACAGCTTGATGGAAAGCCAAGAATAGGACAGATCTGGCTCTGGGGTTTGGTAGTGGGATAAAAAAATCTTTTCATTTCTAGGCCATTAACCTGAATCCATTAAACAATAGTCATGTCCATCTGATAGTTATTCATTGTCCTCTATGAAACAAACTGATGCTCTCAGTCCAGGTCTTAGTGGGTATGGGACCATCTGCAAACATCATAACACTTTTGTACTTGGTGAACTTGTTGGGCATCCCTATAGAGAGGCCAAAGGATTGCCTGGGGAATTGATGTGACAACAACAACAACAAAATGATGACATCACTGGGGAAATTGTAAGGTTTATAAAAAGCTGGGAGTAATTTTGCATCTAGCTATGATCTCCAGAAGTCAGAGTAGAAAGGCACACTGAAGGCACCTGGAAAGGATTTATGTGACTGCTGTTGGTGTTGAACTCTGGACCTCCAGGCTAAGATACAGACAGTGAAAAAGCCCAAGGCTGACTCGATTCAGTCTTTGTAGGTTAGTCTAAAATGCAGAGATTAAATTGAGAAACAACTGGGCACACATTTACTTTTGATTCAGGAAATGCAGCCACATGTCTGCAGTGGCTGAGGCCAGAAGCCAGGGGGCACTAAAACATGCCTCTGTGGCATGTAACCAGCATGGGCTGTGTGTTCACTTCCTCTTCCTGCTGCCCCTGAAGTCTCTGGGATTTGCAGTCCAGAATCACAGCCGCACGACTCTCCAGGGTTGCTCATCACTTCCTCCTGCTTCCAGGTGCCTCTGGGATTTGTAGTCCACAATCACAGCCAGCAGTAAGTTTCAGTAAGTTTAGCAGCAGGGCAGCTCTGTACTTGGGGGCCCAGACCCCAGCCAGGGTTTGCCTGGGGGGAGCAGTCCCTGCCTCCCCCCCAATCCTTCTCTGCTGGAGCAGACAGCATAGCTCAGCCCAGGGCTGAAAAGCATGCTGGGATACTGGGGGGACTGTGATTCAACTTGAACCAGGAAGGGGTCTGGGACAGAAGTTTCATAAACCGATTTGACCCAAATCAGTTAAGTCTGATACTACAGTCAACTAGGTTTATCTTAAACCAGTTTCAACCATTTTGAAACTGATTTATGCACACTAAGTTTCTGTTCTGTTACAGGTTTAAACTAGTTTCTGATGACTTGAACTGGTTTGTGTGGAGCGTCTGTCCCTAGCCCCAGAGTTAAACTGTTAGGCACTACAAAGTAGACTAAGGAACCAAATTCTTCAAAAGGCGAATGTAATAACTTGCATCTTGTGTGGATTGGCATGTACCGGTGGTATATGCTCACTGGTGGGTTACACACTTCCTCTGGTCAGAGGAAGCTTTTCTAGGGTATCTGAGGCCAACAGAATTCACTTCCCAAGGTAAAAACATGAGCTGATTCAAGGTCGAGCTAAACAGCCCATCACTCTGTAACTGGAAGCTGTAACAACTCATATCCTCTGTGGACTGGCCCAGATGGGGATCTGTAATACACACTCAGCAGAGGATTACACTTGTAGTACCTCTGGCTGTGTCTTTACTACTTCTGCAGATAAACAGAGCAGATCTGTTACAAGAGCTGTCAGTCCAGATCCTTTCATGAGCTCTATCGTCATATGTAAAAAGAAGACTATCACCAATCTCACCATAAGGACTTGAACATAACACTTCATTATTTCTGTGTCGGCCCTAAGGTGGTAATTTAAATGAATTTTGCATTATATGTTGATTTATGGCAGCTAAATTAATGTAATAAAACTTCACAGTTCCTTTTCATGTGTATTATTGATAAAAACACTCACTCACAGAAATGTGAAAATCCATCTTTGTGAACTTTAATACTTGGTTGTGGCATCTGTTTTTCATTTAACGAGTTGACTGAAATGAATGTAACTACAAAAACTAGAAGAGCCAAATGAATACATATCATTGCTCAAAAATGGCTGTTTCATCACTCAGTGATAATCATTTCTGATTTATTTGAACAGACTTTCAGGGTCTGATTCCAGATCTTGCACAGGACCTGAGTTCACCTGGAGTTTGGCTTCTATGCCAGGACTGCATGAGAGGACCCTTCGACCTCCATTTGCACAAGAACCCACTAGAAGTAGGTGCGGGTAAAGCAAGGGGAGGAAATAACAATTGAAAAGCATTTGATTTTTCATTCAGCGGTGCTTTGACGTACCACTAGGACATGTTCTAAGTGAGTAGAACGTCTCCTGCACACATTTACGCTAAAATGACCTATTTATGGGCCCAAACCCTTCATGGATGCAGGAAAATGCCTGTTATCACACAAAGACCTGTGTAAAGATCACACAAAAGATTCAGGCCTGACCAGATTTGAAAACAGCTTAAGCATGCTGTATATTACCCATAACCATAGGAAAATGATGCACTGTAAAAGAAGAGTCTCCAGAGACTGGTTTAATTGTTAGCAACATTTGTGGTTATAATGGAACTACAACCTATGGTGGATTCAAATATTCTGCCCATAGCCTGGTATGTGAATGCCATGCTTACACATGAAAATGAAAGCACAAGAGAATGCAGGCTCAGTTGGTGTGAATCATCTCTATCTTAGCATAGATATAAAATGCTTGTCATCAGTAAGGAGCAAATCCAGCCTGGTAGTGCCATAACTGCTGAGAATCCTCAACAGGGTGTGCAACCTCCTCCACAGTAAGAACAGACCAGGTAGAGGTCTGGGGCTTGGCTGATGCATTGATTTCCCAGTCTCATCCTTTACAGTAGGTTACATTTGAGGGTTGAGAAATCACCTCTGGAGAATCTTTTAAGGACATTAAAACCTTTCTAGTGTAGCGTCTTCGTGACATATCCAGAATGCATGAGGATGTGAAATGCCATGAAAGTTTTATGGACGCCTCTTTAGGATCCCTTGCACAGGTTCCACTTGATGAAGAACAATGAATAATGCAGCAAATCAATAAAATCTTTAGCTACATGACAGCATCTGGACAGCATACATGAAGCTACCTTCCAGATGCAACGTGACTGCTGTTTAACATCACAAGGAAATACTGAAAAGTGCAGGAGATGGTCATGTCCAAGGGGACTGCAAAGGGGTTAAGATAGGCAGTGCCACCTACTGAAGCACCAGCCGCTCTTGCAGTTTTACTTAGTGGCATCTCATTCAAGGGCCATGTTGTTCTGACTTTGCTTAATATCAGAGATTGTAGCCCAAAGAAACATGGCTATGGTCCATAAGAAATAATGGGCCAAATCCTGAGAAACCTCAAGATTTTATCCCAGTAAATCCCTTGTTACATGACCTGATCTGACTTCCAATGAAGTCAATAGGAGTGCTACCACTTGCTTTCATGGAAACTGAGCTTGGGCTCACATAAAATTTACCTGTTTGTTGCCACACAAAACAATAAGCAGTAGGGATTTGTTTCTTAACCAGACACTCTATACTGGCTTTGGCAGGTGATGAAACAACTGTTTACTTCCAAGGGAGATAAGGAGTGAATTGCTAAAGGATGTTAGACACATGGTTAGACACATGGTTTAAGAGCACTTAGTATTTATATGACATCATTTCGGGTAGAAATGGGCAAGCTACAGACATACGAGTTATTTTTTTTCCTACCCTCAGGATGTGAAATGAGATTGAACAATGGCAATAAATATTAGAACAATTAATATTATGATTGCAATATTATCTTTATGCACCCAGAGACCTGTATGTATAGTCTATACTACTGATAAGCATATTCACAATGTTACAATGATAATAAATAAAAATAATAAAATATAGAACAGTATTTGAGATGTTAGAAATCAGGAGACCAAGTAGTCAAAAGAAATGGCTAGCAACTGTTTAATAAGGAGTTAAAGAGGAATTTAACTCCACTCTGAGGAAAATACAAATTCCCAGTCATATGATAACATTGGCATATACAAATCAAACAATATATCTTAACTGTCTCCCAAGGGTAAAATAAAGAGGCATTAAGCAGGGACTTGTCTGTCATTGAAACCTTTATTAATAACAACTGCGGTTTAAAAGCGGGTGGTTTCACTATTTATAAAGCATTAAATTCCAGCAATCCAAATAAGAAAACTATATTTAGGAAACAAAAGAGAAAGCATTGGGTAAACAAATTAAACTAGTTGGCTGCAATGAAATCTGGGAGGCTATTAAAACATCCTTCACATGTTGCATAATAAGAGGATATTACTTTCAAATACTGTATTAGACTTATTTAACATGCTTGGAAGCAAACATATGGCAGGGGAAGGAGCAGTGATGCAGGTTGTATGGTCAGAGAATGGGCTTCATCAGACACACTGGTCCCTGACTGCAGTATTTGGGTTGTTCACAATGAGAAATAAAAGCCACCGTGAATCCTGCTTGATTCATAGGTGTTCATGTTGAATTAACCCATGAGTAGAACCTGGCTTGTGACACACGTTCTTCTATGTAGCACCCCGTTTAAAGGGCTTTGTTTATGAGATTTCTGTGAGACGTGGAGGTTGCAGGCAGAATCATCGTCACTGAGGGTACAAAGAGATATACCAAGAGAAGCGGGTTGGAGGAGTGGGGGTGGAGTTTGCAAGGCATTAAGCTTCGGTGCAGTAACTGTTTCACATGCTCATTCCTATCCCTTTGTAAGTGAAAGCTTAACTGGGGCCACTTACCCAGGAATGATTAAAGCTAAGTTGCCATAATTTAGTTTCCACTTAGCAAGGAATAGGATCCAGGCTCTAAGCCCTTTCAGGGTTCAGTGGAGCTCAGATCGAGGGGCTCATTTGTTCTATTTTTATGGGGAAATGTTACTCTCTCCATCAATGACTTCCTTCTCATATGAAAGACCCTCCCCTCATCATTTTGACTTGGGAATTTGGCTTGGTCTGGAAGTTGCCAACTTCTCTCTGAAGACAAAGGAGAATATTTCTGCAAAGGCCAAAGAAAACTCTTCAAACAGTTTTGGGTTATAATCACAAAGTAAGCATAGCCACATTTCTCTTATCAAGTGCAAGTAAATGCATGTGTCAGAACACAACATCCAGCAGTGACCTAGAGTAGGTATTTTTCCTTTCATCCATAATCTGGAAATAGAAACACAAATCATAGCCCTCTGAGAAAGACACAACTCTCCTGGGCCAAGCCTTCAGGTCTAGCTGAGCTGTGGTGGCACAGAACCTGAAGTGGAGGGAAAAGATGGCTTAAATTTAGATGTTGCACAAAAACGCATGGTTGCCCCAGTCCCATTTGCTTGTCTCTTCAGGGTAAGTTAGAGTAGCCTGATGGTAAGGACCACTGAGGGAATATTCCATTTATTAGGGAAGCTGCACCCTCACTCCCTACTGTCTCAGACATGTTCCCAACATGTTCCGGCTCCCAGCATATTTTCTGCATGCTTGGGGAAAGGAAGGGATGGCAGAGAGCCAACTATGCCCTCTCGGTGCCATGTGGGAAATTCCCATGTGGGGAATCCCAATCTGTCCTGTTAAGGCAGATTCCTAGACCCAGTTTAAAGCATTCAAGGTAGGAGCTAACAGTGA